CCACTTTGATAAATGTAAACTAATGCGAACCTTACAATTAAATTATTAATTCCTTCGTATATTATTGGTTTAAGTTGTCGAAAATTAATGTTTCATTTGTAAGGTTCGCATTAGCATACATTTATAAGAGATATGCATTTTTTAATAGTTTTTTGAATATGGCTCTTTGAAGACGAAAAAGCATAGATTTTCTTACAAAATGACTGATAACTAAAAAACTAATCCAAATTTTTGAAAAAGAAAAAAAATACTTCTTCATTATGTCAAAACACAAATATGTGTCGAGTTTCGAGCCTGGGCGAGGCTTCTGGGGCGATATATTGTGATTACAGACACACACACACACAGCCGCTTTTATTATTATGTATAGATAATATGCTCATAACTTTGAAACTGTTAGCTTTATTGTTTATTTTTATCGTTGCTTTTATCGCCTTATTAGATCGATTTATCGCCTTTATTATTATTAATTAAGCATAACATGTTCATAACTTCGAAACTAGTAGTTTTATTGTTTAGTTTTGTCATTCCTTTCATAGATCTATAGCCTAAATATTCAAGCGTAACATGCTCATAACTTCGAAACTGTTAGTTTTATTGCTTAATTTTTGCCATTACTTTCATCGATTTATCGCCTTTATTATTAATCAATTAAGCATAACATGTTCATTATTTCAAAACTGGTAGTTTTATTGCTTAGTTTTATAATTACTTTTATCGATTTATCAGCTTATCGTCTAAATATTTAAGCATATCATGCTCATAACTTCGAAACTGGTAGTTTTATATTTTAGGTTTATCGTTACTTTTATCGATATATCGCCTTATGTAAATAATTAAGTATAACATGCTCATAACTTTGAAACTGTTAAATTCGCTACATCTGTGACATCTAGCAGCAAAAGGAGGCATAACTTTGGGTGGTTTTAACCTAAGTAAAGAATGGTGTATTGAAATCTGAACAATAGTCCTTTCAACATTAGTAAAAACGATAAGCACAAAATCATCAGTGAATATTCTCTTGTCGGAAAGGACCAAAAAAATATTTTTCCCTATTTAAAAATTGAAATATCATAATATATCATAATACAAAAATCGTTCAGCAGAGGTTTAATGTTTTAGAGTTAGAGAATATCACAACATGGAATGGAGGACATCAAATTCAACGGTATCACAAAATGTTTTTGTAGTAGAGGGAGTTATTGTTATATCAGCTATAGTTGTAGCGAGAGTTTATAGCAATATCAATGGAAGTATGTTCAACTGACGTTATCTTATCGATAAAAAAAAAAGTTAGCGTGTCCTATAAATAAATGTGTATTTTTATTAATTATTATCATTTACTTAAAAAAACGTATTTTACTAAAATTATTCACGGGATCTTTCACTTTAATTGCTGTTAAACCTGAATTGAAATTGTAGTCCGCGAACAAATATAGATTGATTAAACGTGCTTTAAATATTACAGATGAAATTACGGCTACAGATGAGATTATCAAAGACTGCACACAGAAATGCCAGCCTGCCTGCTAGTAAGTATTTCTTAAATTTTCAAGGGGCAACTTTATTACTAATATGCAAAATAATGCACAAAAATTTTTACAGAAGTATTAATAAGTACAGGTATTACGATTATTTTTATATGATTTTTATATAATCTTTGTGCGAAAAGATATTAGCTGACATTGATTATGATTATACTTTATTTGACAGCAACTAATCAGAAAATAAAAAATAATCATTAATTAAACCTGAATATANCTTTCTTTATAATGCCATTACATATTTCTATTAATATAAAAAGTTTCAGAGCTTTTTATTCACTTTACTTTTTCGGGATTTTATGAACTGAAAAAATGACAGTTTTCGTGAGAATGACCCATATACATATATACAGAGAGAGAAAACGTTGAAAGGAATATAAAGATTTTTTAGAAGAGAAATAATTTAAAAAAATAGTAAAATGAAATATTTAAAAAAAATTTTAAAAAATAAACAATTTAAAAATTGAAGAACCGGAAAACAAAATAAGGAAAAGATATAATCTCGTCATCACCTCAAGCGATTATGTCCTCAAAAATTTGCTTTCTAATATTATATTAATACTAGCGGACCCGACAGACGATGTCCTGTACACAAGTCATTAATTGGAAAATTTCAAATTTTTTTGAATAAGCTGTAACAAATCTGGATCGTTTTGATGCAAATTTTTATTAAAAAGTAAGTTATCATATTAACGTCATTTTATATATCTTATCACAATTCGATCAATCGATAGCGTGTGAGTATGTGTATACTATCAGTGAAGTTAAATGTAGAGGTTGTTTTAAATCAAAACTTAAACTTATTTTAATTAAAGGTAAAAAANAAAGTTTTAAGACAAAAATAATGTACTTCCACGCACTGGCATCTGTCAAAATTCAAATATTTTTCTAACAAGTTAGCCAGATTTACAAAATATGAATATAGAAGCATAAATAGAGGAAAATGGGGTCATTTTACTGAACGTTCTTGCTGAAGTACTGAAGCGCGTTTGATTTCTTAGTTACCTTGGATTGGCTCCGAAACTGGATGTGTGCAAGGTCATAATATTATACTGGATAATTCAAAATGCATAATTAATAAGGTTTGGGGCCGGGATAGCCTGGTCGGTAGGGCGCTGGGCCCATATCCAAGAGGTCGTGGGTTCGATCCTCGCCGACCGAAGACTCCCCGTGTAGTAAATGGTGACTGATGCACGTTAAATCTGTCGAGTCTCAAAGTCCTCCATGTTCCCACAGCAAATCAATACCTCTGGGGGATCCAGGAGTTTCCTTGTCTTCTGGATTGGTTCAAAATTACAAGGCTACGGAGTTGAACGTTAGTAGTCGTAAACCCATGAAATTGGGTCGGCTGTTCAACGACGGTTATAAAATAAAATGAAATTGATAAGGTTTGAGTCACGATGGCTCAGGAGATAGAGCGTTCGCCTTCCAATGAGGTGAACTGGGTTCGAATCCCAGTCGATACGGATTCCGCATACTGCTTGCAGCAACCACAGTGCTGACGTGAACTATCCTCAGTGATAGACGGATCATGGGTTGGAGTCCCCTTGCCATCAGGCTAACCGTGGGAGGATTTCGTGGTCTTCTTCTCCATGTAACGCAAATGCGGTTTAGCTCCATCAAAAAGTTCACCACGAAGGTAAATTTGTCCCAGCACTCGACCCAGGAGTTCCCTTGTCTTCCAGATTGGGTTCAAAATTACAAGGCTATTGAGTTGAACATTAGTAGTCGTAAACCAATAAAATTGGGTCAGCTGTTCAATGACGGTAATAAAATTAATAAGGTTTGAGCCGTGGTTTCTCAGGCAATAGAACATTCGCCTCCCAGTGAGGTAAACCAGGTTTGAATTCCATTGATGGCTGGGGTCCCGGCTCATACCATACTGCTCACGAAAAAATATACTCAGTGGTATACAGATCATGGGTTAGAATCCTCTGGCATCAAGCTAACCGTGGGAGGTTTTCGTCGTTTTCCTCTCCATGTAACTCAAATGCGAGTTAGTTCCATCAAAAAGTCCAAAACGGAGGAATATTTCCTCCCAGTACTTCCCCCTCGTCTTCTGAATTTGGTTCAAATTAGAAGGCTGTGGAGTTGAACATTGGAAGTCGTAAACTCGAAATCTGGTCGGCTGTTCAACGAAGGTTGCAAAATAAAGTGAAAATAATAAAGATGAATTTTAATATAAAATTTTAATATTGATTAAAACCGGGTAAACTTAACGGTGATTTATAATAATCAAACTTTACACCACTATCAAGCAATTGTCTTCACTTCTGATCCCTTTTAAAGAGCCATAAAAAAACCTATTACCAACGAACCTGTGTGAATTATTTTGGTTTCATTATTAGCATATTTTGTTCCAATTAAAACATTACTAGTTACAGCAGCGGTAGTAGCCATTACGAAAACTGATTAGGAATCACTGAAACTAATAAGACTAAAACGTTCTTTTTACGGTTCCTCAAAATGAAGAAATACTTAAATCCATTAATTTTGCTTTTTTTTAATTACACAACGTTTTTTTTATTTCACTTACCATTTATTCTAAATTACTTAATATTATAAGACCACTTTTCAAAAACTTAACTTTAGCATAATAAATGCATGGTTTCAATCGAACAAATGTGTAAAAGGTAATCTTCTTGGAGAAATGATCACTTTGAAATTACCATGACGTTTTTAATAACACAACTTTATTCAGACATAACACATAGAGAACTAAATTACATAATACAGAAGAAAAAATATTAACATTTAATAATCACGTGACTTTGTGCTGCCATGTATATTTCATTTTAAAAACTACTTTAAACAGAAGCTTACTCCTCCGCCATGAGCCCTTAGGGGATTCATAAAATCTTATTACATTCATTCAAACTTTAATTTCAAAGGTAGAGCAGCAAAAAATCAATTACAGAAAATTTCACGTTTAAGAATCTTTACACAAATATTCAAACAACTTTGAATGAAATAAATGTGAATCGTAGCTACAAACAAAATTAACTATATAAAATAACTAAATGACCCTGTCGATGAAATGACCCTGTCGACGAAATGATCCTCACGACGAAATATGACCCTGTCGACGAAATGACTTGTTGACGAAATTGCCCTATCGACGAAATAGCCTGTCGCCGAAACGACCCTGTCGAGGAAACGGTCCGTCGACGAAATGACCAAGTCGAGGGAATAGTCTGTCGATGAAGTGGTGTCGGGAACTGACCTGTCGATGAAATGAATGCGACCCGAACAAATGAGTTCGTGGTTGGAATAGAAGGAAATCTTTTAAGAATAATATATATCGCACTATTGTATTGGTATATTTTGCTTTGGCTATATTGATGCAATATTAGAAAGCACATCTTTTGTCTTTTTTTACCGAAATTATTATTAATTTTTTTAAAATTTTTTATGTTTATTTTTATATTATTTTATTTATTTTTATTTTATTTAATATTATATTATTCTTATTATATTACTTTTATTATATTATTTTCTTTATTTTAATTTTATTTAATATTAAATTATTTTTATTATATTATTTTTATTATGTTATTTTATTTTGTAACATTTCTGAGCAAGGAATTCCTCTGTATTCTTTATAATTGTGTGTTTATGCTTATTGTTTTACTCCAAGATAATAGTATTTTTATTTTTTATTTTTTTTATTTAAGCGAGAGAAAATATGAAGTTGGATATCGTGAAAAGCATGGTTCAAAAGAAGAATTTGATTCAAGTATTGTAAGGAGACATTGTTTAATTATGAATTTCTCATTATTTCTGTTTAATGATGAATTTCTCAATTATGATATTTCTTTTATATTTGTTTCGTTTTTGCTTGCGTGAAACACTGTAAAGTACTCGAATAAAAAAATAACATAAAAAATTTGTTTTACGGAATGTTCTTGTAGTTTTTAAATCAATTCAGAAGACAAGGTGGACTTTCGTGGCAAGTATTGGGGCAAACGGACATGAGCATCACAAATTCTTAGTTTTTTTTTAAAGAAATTAATTTAGACCGAAAGGATACTTCTGCAAAAAGTTTTAAGACAAAAATAAAGAAATAACATAAAAACTCATAGCAAACGGACATTGGTGTGACAGATTATTATTTTTTCTTTTTTATTTAAAAATCAATTCAGAAGGAAGAGCTAAATCTGCATCAAATTTTGACCCAAAAATAAAAATTATAACAAAGAGCTACAGCAAACGAATGACTTGCATTGCAAATTCTTAATTTTTATTTATTTTTTTACTTATTTACTTATTTTTTTAAAAATCTTTCCAGAATGGAAGGATACTTCTGCCTCAAGTTTTTAGACAAAAATAAAATAATGATGCTAAATCAGAGCAAACAGGTATTTGCACCACAGATTCTTAGTTTTTATTTATTTTTAAATATCAATTTTGAAGGAAAAAACATTTCTTCATCAAGTCTTAAGAAAAAAGTAAAAAAATAAATGTAATTAACAGCAAACGGTCATTTGCATATCAAATTCATTTTTTTTAAAGAATCCATTTAAAAAAGAAGGATATTTCTGCATCAAGTATTAAGACAAAAAAAGTGCAGTGCAGAGTATTCTTTTGTTTTTAAATGAAGATAGGTAGATTTTTAGTAAAGGGGGATATGATGAACATCTCTAGAGAAATATTAAAAAGATATTATGATATCGAAATGTTATTGGTGCGGTAGTTGTTTCACATAAAGAATTATTATCGAAATCTTAATTGAACACAATGTTTTCCACTACTTGCATCAAACATTCACTCTCTTTTTCAGTGTACAGTGATCAATAGAATGAATGAATTGGAAAATAGTTCTTACGCTTATGGATCGGTAGAAAATTGTAGGTAAGTACATTTAAGAAATGCTTTGAGCCTATGGTTCGGCTTAACTCTTTACCCATAAATTACTTAACATGGTTTTTCGAAGTTCTTTCGCCAAGGAAAATAATGAAAGGCACAGTGTAAGTGCCTTTTACTTGAAACAAAGCTATAATTTTAAATTATATTTTCCAATTTGTCGAAATGAATTATATGAACTTTAGAATGGACAAATAATTTAAATATTTTAAAAATTACTAAAAATTTTTAAGAATCACTAATTTTGGCGAAATTTTCTATCCTGGAATAAATTATCAAAGTCTAATTAGTGTTTTTTTCACCTTTTTATGAGTCCAGATAATGCAGCTTTGATGTAAGTTTTTAAATGTTAAAAAATTAGACCATAAACTCTATTGTTTTCTAAAAGCTGTGACTTTTCTCCATTTTGATCGAACTTTTGCTCCATTTTCATAACTAGCATAGAGAGCGCCAGTTAAGGATGGGCTAAACTTAACCTAACAGTCATGAAATGTTGCTAACTCACAGCAGTTATGAAAATTGAATATTATTCGAAAAAAAAACGTAATATTGGGTTGCGCAATGCCTGTTTTTTGCGTCATTTTAAATTGTTAAAAAATTTTAAAATAAGATTTCTCGTTAGTATTTTGCTTTTTCAATACTTCCATGATACAATACTTTTTGCACAAAATTTTATTTCTGAAAAATTATCAATAGCAGGCATGGATGAAAATAATATTTATTATTTTCCATTTAAAAAATTTTATCAGTAAAACAACGGAGAATTTCAGAAATAGTTTGTAAGAATGTCTGAAGATCACATTGCGTGTTTTTACTTATTGTGTAAATGATAATTTAATTATAATTTCTTTCAGGCTAAAACAGATAAAAGTGACATTCTCTTTTGGAAGGTTTCGATTAAGACGTCAAATCTATAATCAGCAATATCAGGTACGTTCCTGTCACCCTCATTTCTGAAAATATCAAACAATAACGCTCTTCAACGATGTTTTTTTTTTCAGAATAAACAATGAATAAATGCAACGTTCTTCAACGATGCTTATTATTTCAGAATTAACGATGAATAAATGCAACGTTCTTCAACGATGCTTATTATTTCAGAATGAACAATGAATAAATGCAACGTTCTTCAACGATGCTTATTTTTCAGAATTAACAATAAATAAATGCAACTTTCTTAAACGATGTTTGTTTTTCAGAATTAACAATAAATAAATGCAACAATTAAACACTAAAAAGAAGTTACTATGAGTTTTGTCGCTGCTGTTGTTTCTAATCCTTCATAATATAGCCTCAGCTATATCAAATCCATGACTCCAAACGATCAAAGTCACACACCAAAATTGGTCGCAAGAGAATGTCCTCCACGAGAGCGAAAATGTCCTCCAAGAATGTCCGAAAGAGAACGAAAGAAAATTCTAGACAATCAAAGATGTGTTCGGGGGACTATAATTTGTAAATTCTAGAACAAAGTAAAAACATATTCTTTTTCCATGATCACCACCCTTCAAATCTAAAACTCTTGTCAAAAATACCGTTAAAAAGTGTACAGATTGTGGAAGTAAATTGAGAGATTTTGCAAAGCGTTATGGTTCCCCCTATCTATAATGTCAACATTATTTGAGCCTCACAGCTCGTGCGCTTACATTTCCCTACTAACCGCTAAGAGGTAGAAAGTAAGTTTAGCGTTATGATTAGCATTCTCTTAATATATTTAAGAGAGGCAAAAAACATTATCGAACATTTTCGAATGACTAGTAAAAATTGGAGGCATAAAAAATCAATTTGATGAAATTCATTTCATTGTTATGGATTTTTCTGAACACAAAAAATTCTTTTTTAATGCATTACTAATACTTATAAATGTAATAAAGTCTGAATTTCGTTTTATAGAGAGTAGAACTATTCAGCTACATTGGAGGATATTTGGGACTGTGGCTGGGATTGGGCCTCATCTCTCTTTTTGAATCCCTTACAAACATCGTATGTTATCTTTGGAGAACAAGACGAGTCAAATACTCATCAGTTCAAAATCTTCAATCTAAAAAATCTTCTTCCAAATAGCTTCTTCTTACTTGCTTCTTGATTTTCTATAATGCATTTTACACTTAGACATCCTGTTTTGTTATTAATTTAAACCTATATTTTATTTTTTCATAATGTTTTGTCTATATTTACAAAAAGTATTAATAAAACTGAAAAATCATCTAAATGTTGTCGGATTTTTTTAAAATGACAGAGGAGAGGAATTTAAATATTCTTAGTAGCTTTATTCAGTAACAAGAACTATTTTTTAAAAACTTACACTTAAATTCAAAACTCCTTCCCTCCTTCCCTAATGAAGTAGATTGCTTCCTTTTTTCTGCAGTTAGGGTAAATTTGAGGAATGCGCGTCTGAATTACTTCTGAGCAAGCACAGCATCCAGAATTTACATTGCATATATATTTCTATTATAAGGCTGGATATTTCGTGACTTTTTTTACGGCAGCAATTCTAAACTCATTTCTTTTTGAAATGTGGGTGTCATATTTTCCAAAAAAAATACCCATTTCTGCCTGATAGTAAATCAAAATGTTTAGTTTTACAGTTTTTGGCTCGACATGGTTTTCCTAAATCTTTCTTCGATATTAGAATGTGGCTGTTTTCGAAAATACCTGTATTTGCATAGAAGTATTTGAATAATTTTTCTTTAAAATGTTATTCAATAAAAATTACGCAATTTCATTTGCATATTTAATTCTAATTAGAAAATGGACATTTTGAGGATTTTTTTATAATATTTCTAAGCTGCGTGATTTATCTTAAACTGGTTTTATATTGAAACATGAGTACCATGTTTTTAAGAGATACCCATATCTGCCTAGAAGTATTTATTGAAACATAAAATTTAAAAAAAAAATGATTATTTTAAAAACAAGAAATTTCTTTTGCATATATAACTCTAAGTAAGAGAATGGAGTCTCTGATTATTTTTCATAATTATTTGCACTGCGTGTTTCGAGAAAAAGTAACGAAGAAACAAGTAGAAGTACAGAATTTAAAAAGTAGCGAATAACTATCGTTAGTTGTAACGCAAGTAAAAATATTGCCATGTATGATACTAATTAAACTTCCAAGCGTTGAGTCCCTGGATAAAATTGTTCGGAAAAATTTCCTCCCATTGAACCACTCCCCTTCTACGCACCACTCTCCCATTGAGCCACTCCCCTTCTACTCACCTCTCTCCCATTGAGCCACTCCCCTTCTACTCACCACTCTCCCATTGAGCCACTCCCCTTCTACGCACCACTCTCCCATTGAGCCACTCCCCTCCTACTCACCACTCTTCCATTGAGCCACTCCCCTTCTACGCACCACTCTCCCATTGAGCCACTCCCCTTCTACTCACCACTCTTCCATTTAACCACTCCCCGTCTACGCACCTCTCTCCCATTGAATAACGTCGAGGAAACTGGTTTTTCAATGCACGGCAGCTTGCAGCTAAAAATTCGGAAAAAGTCGGAACTAGCGCTCAGAGAGTTAAACTTATATCCGTGTCTTAAGAGGACGTCATACCCCGGGATGATCTTTTCCCTGCAAATTCTCTTTCACGTCTATTACTAATTTAAAATTTAAGAGAAAGAAAAAAGTGAGTTTAGGCAAAACTAACGTAAGCCATGCAGTTTCAAGTGCTGAAGAAAAAACATCAAACTATCAAAATGCAAGCAAATTATTGGAAGAGAACTTCGCTATTGCGTAATCCTAAAGTTATCTTCTTATTATTTATTTTCCTCTTTTGATATTTTAACAATCTATTTTCAATTCTTAAAACTTCATGGCTTACTCAAGGTTTGTCTGAACTCACTTTTACTCTACTTAAAATTTTGTAGAAGTAAAAAAGTGAAAGTGATAATCGTGAAATTGAAGCGAGTGATGTGAAAAGTGAAGTGACTATCCTAAAGTTATCTTCTGATTATTTATTTTCATTTTGATATTTTGAAAACTTATTTTCAATTCTTTAAACTTCATGGCTTGCATAAGGTTTTTCTGAGCTCACTTTTTCTCTACTTAAAATTTTAAATTAGTCATGTTGTGAAAAAGATTTAGCAACGAAAGATTTTTCCCGTGGTATGGCGTCCTTTTAACGCTGATTTTCAGCAGAATGTATAGGCATTGTGCTGTAATTAGACTATATCTAGTGCCTCATTTTAAGTAATTTTTGGTTCTCCTGTTAATTATTATAAATACTGACTGATTATTCATAGATATTTTAACAAAAATCGATCATGAAAATTTCTATGGAGATAATTCATTTAAATAAAACTCTTACCATTTAAGGAAAACTGATTAGTAATGCATAGCGTGTTAAAGTGTCCTTAATATTTGGATATACATTAATGAGATATTTTTTATTTTTTCTCCCGTAGACAACTAAACGTATTAAGTACACAACCTAATCTATTTGTGTATTAACATTAAATTGCATATTTTTGCATTCACTTACTTACTGCTTTCACAGAAAAGACCAACAAAAAAAATCGACTTATTAGTTTTCTCTTTGAATAAAAAAACGGCAAAAACCTTTTATTAATTAGGGTCACGTGGCCGATTTTACAAAGCTAGTACTAATAATACAGTGTGTACAATGTTTTATACGGACATACTGGTTTAATACAATACAATGGTATAGAGCCACGATTTTTCAGGGGATAGAGCGTTCACCTTCCAATGAGGTGAGCCGAATCCTCAGCGATGACTGGTCGGAACGAATCCGCATCCGGTGACCATAATGCTGACGTGAAATATCCTCAGTGGTAGACGGTTCATGGGTTACTGTCTCTTTGCCGTTTGGCTGAGCATGGGAGGTTCTCGTGGTCTTCCTCTCCATGTAACGCAAATGCGGGTTAGTTCCATCAGAAAGTCCGCCACGAAGGACAATTTCTCATAATACTTTATCTAGGAGTTCCCTTGTCTTCTGGATTAGGCTCAAAATTACAAGGGCTATGGAGTTGAACATTAGTAGTCGTAAACCCAAAAAATTGGGTCGGCAGTTCAACGGCGGTTATAAAAAATTTTAAAAAATATAATCGTGTAATAGAATACAATACATACTGATTTAATACAATACAATGTTTTACAAAGCAATGCACGGATAATTTCTTAACCTGTCCTCCTCTGCTAGTCGCTCGATTTTCCTGTAATACAAATAATACCCTTTAGACAGGAGGCATTATTAGTATTATAGGGGCAAATTAGAAAAAAGCAGCATCATTTGCCCCCGTCTTTTAAGGGGCACTAAGGAAAAGGGCAAATTTTTAACTTTGCTGAAAACATCTTAAAACGCTGAAAATTGAACTTTCAAATTGAGGGAAAGCACCATTGTAAAATTGCTTAACTATCGGCTTCGTTTATTTATTAAATTATTTATCTGCAAATTTCCCCCTGTTAATTATTACGTGAAAAACGGGAGAAGGGGGAAAATAAGAATCATTTTGGAAAGAGAAACATTTTGTCTTTCTTCTTGTTTTTTTATGGTACTATGGTGATTTAAAGATTTCAGATAGTTCAATATCTGTTATGACCTACAGTGATAGAATTTCCACAAAATTTGAAGCATACGAAACTCATTCATAAATTAAGTTCGTTTAATTAAAATGCACCTAAACACTAGCTTATTAATTAATTAAACAAAATGGATGTAATCTCTTTCCTCATAAAATTAACAATGTAGGCAAAAAACACAAATAAAGAAAAAGGGCTTTCTTGTTTTGTTAGAGATAGTCAAGCATTCAACTCATACATATTGTTTTTAAAGTGTTAAAACTCAGTAAAAAAAAATAAGTACTTAGTAACTTAAAAACCAAATGTGAAAAAGAAAACGTGTTAGAAGTTGTGTCTCTAACATAAACTTTACGAAAAGGTATATTAAAAATAATGAAAATCTGTTTTTCAAATCTCCAAATTTTTTTTACATGGAATATAGATGTCCAAGTCAGAGGCTGAAAAAGATCAGTGTTTCATTATTATTCAATCTATTTCCGTTTGCCCTATTTCTGTTGGACAATTTGTACTCCTGTCCCAAATAGAAACGCATTTCTATTGGTTGCATCTGTAACAGGTTGATCATTAATGGATTTTCAGTGGACAAATAAGTGAGGTGTCGTCAGCTTTGACATCTTTATAGCCTTTTGAAACTGTGGTTGATTTTTATATATATGCTTTGACAACCTTTTATTATTTATGATTTTTTTTTGTATCATATAAGAGCTTTGGACACTTTACCTTAAATTTAACACATCATTTAAAAGTAATAAAGGCAGAACTTTCATATTTATTTCCTTATAAAATTAAAGCGAGACAGTCAATATAAAATATATACCAATAATAAAAAAGAAGATACCACTGTAAATGACTTAAATTGGTTGTTGACTTCCACCGGCAAATGTTGACAATCATAGTCGCTTTGGTAAATGTCTGAAATATATTCTAGATCTAGTTAAATGCCACTACCCGGTATACATTTGCCCGGTATGCTCTACATTAATGATTTTTAAGGCTCGATGCCACTGCCCAGTATGCCCTATTTAATTTTTTTTAAGGTTTAAGAGCCACTGCCCAGTATACATTTAACTGGTACTCCGAACACTGATGTTTCTCCTACTCTATCCGCAACAGATAGTATAATATTGAATAAATGTAATAATATCATCAAATAAATTTATATTAAATCGAATATAACAAATATTTCGGTCAGTCATTAAAGCGACTCGGTGAATGTCGACATACTCTTGATGTGGGTCATTCGCGGAAACAATCATACTCTATTAGAAATATTATGAACTTGCAGATAGAATTAAACAGATTTCGCATATCAACTCAAATTGTTCTTTATATGAAGTTCAATAGTTCGTGAAAAATCAAATTTTAAAGAAGTCATATTTTTTTAAATTCAATTTCTCAGGAGCTATTCGACCAGTTTTGCTCAAATTTTGTATTTTGCCATTTGAAATTACATTCCTTAAATCGATGTAAAGAATTCTATGCCTTACAACTTAAAATTTATTCGAGACAACTATCCCATTTTATTTACATTTTTTTAATTACAATTTTACACTCTTCACAAATTTCAGTTAAATCGCATTATTTTATTTTC